TAATTTGTTGTGATTAATGTTTTTCTGTGTGAACGATGCTAACACGATAAGGCTAGGCTTGAGTGCTGGACAATTCATTTAATGCTATTTAATGCTTGTGCTGTATAATATATTCAAATTGTTTTACGTGTCTCAAAGAATGGATTATGCTACCGAGAACAGGCTATGCAATTAGTATAAATAATCATGACTTTTGAACTTCTCAAAATGCAATACTGAATTATCCAATTATCCAATCCAAGTAATTTTTAGTTAAAAATGCTTTAAAAAATCTATTCGGCCTTTGTAATTCCCGGTGAGCATTTATTGGCTCCATTTAATCAGATTTGGTGTTTTCTGCTAACCTTCCTTCTCAATTCAAGTATATATACCTTCGAAACCACATACAAACCAAGTCAAATGGGTGTGTGATAAGAGAACTCAGCAGAAGAGAGATTTTGACGGTAACTTTTCACTTACCGTTTATATAAATATCCTATTTATATTGTTTTACTCTATTTTATATGTGTGTATTTTTTTGTTTAACTAAGCGCTATGTCCAACCAACATCATGTCTAGATGTAAATAATTAAATTTCAATATAATCAACATTACACATTACATTTACATCTCATGCCCAATGTATAGCAGATAATAATACCATGATTTCATTTTTTGGATTGATGTTTATTAATTACTATCATCTAATAAACTAACCGAGGAAACTGACCACTCGATCTCTATTTTTTAGATGTGTGTGCTTATTTCGATCTGTTGATCTATTCGGCACGCGTAATCAAATCCCTGAGCAGGACAATGATTTTCTAGATAAAAATTTTCAAAGCAAGATTAAAGAGTCACTCCTAGATTATGGTATGCTAATGTCCTTCATCTAAATACTTGGATTTATGCATTAGCACTTCATTATGAGTGTGTAGTTATTCGTTTTGTTTACTCATTCTAAAGGACTACACACCATTCACCATTTCAATCAAAGATTCAAATGTTGGTAGACAAATGGATGCATGTTCCAATGAAATGTAGGACTCCATTCAAATATAAATTAGGGTGAAACTGGCTTCTAAAAAATCAGCTAATAATTATTTGACTTCTTTCGTTGGAAGAATAAATGTCTTTGAATTTAAAGCTTCCATCAAACATTCAAGCTAAGATACGTTCTATAGCTCATAACACTCAGATCAAATATTGGGTTTCACACCCAAAAGATATATATATAATTAAATATTATTGAATTATATATATATATAATTCTATGTATGTATTGAGTGTTGCAAATTAGTAAACAAATCTAATTTATTTAATTCAAAACATTTATTTTGAAAAGGCATTTACAATTTGGGGCAAATTTCATACGTAGTGCCTAATTTGAGATGAACCTGGCCCCTCTTTAGTTTCATTGTGTGCAGCATAGAAGGCAATATATGTTTGCTCCAGATGGCATGTTGAAGTCTCAAAACTAAACGCAGAGCTAACTCCGAAAAGATGCATGTCTGAATATTGAAATTTACTGATGTATATGACAATCTAGATGAACATTAGTCAGCAAAGACCCGTGATAAGGGTGTTGATCTCGATCTCAGGTTTTGAGCGGAAAGAAGATGACCGGGTGAGGGTAATGCATATGACTGATGTTGCTTTAATTTGTGTTTGAGGGAATAAAGATGAAGATTCAAGAAGAGGAGAGTGAGTGGTGGAGGGGGGGAGTCTAATATTAAAACCGCCTTCGTGCGATTTCGGTGTGTGTAGCATAGGGTCATACAATAGTATAACTTTTTGCAAAAATTCCATTAATATTATTTCTAAAAAATGGTAGATTAATTTTACTCAAGATTGCTATGATGCAGTATACAAATCATGACTATGTAATCTAGCTTTGTGTATAGTCATTGTAACTAAAAGTTAACAAATCACGTTTGTTGTTGATATCTTTTACTCTCTCCGTCCCATTTTACCTGTCTTACCTTCTCTTTTGGGTTGTCCCAAAATAAGTGTCAACTTTCTCTTTTTGGAAAGAAATATTCCCTCCGTACCGTAATTAAGTTCCTACTTTCCTTTTTGGGATGGTCCATATTAGAGTTCATACTTCAAACATATCCTTATTTGGCAAATGATTACACCAAAACAGTGCCAAACAGTGTCAAACAGTGCCAAACAATATTTAAAAATTGTGCCAAAAGCAAAGAAAACGCAAAATGGAACGGAGGTAGTATTATTAATGTTTTAGGAAAAATCTTTATGGCTCCGAATTACTGTAGTGTATTATCAATACATCACACGATAGTATTTCAGTAATATTCCCGGTCAGATCTCATAATAAAGTTTTGTCAATTTAAAAATATTTTATTAGTGTAAAAATTTCCATAATGCTATTCGAAATAATAATATACATTGGTTTCTTTTTAGTTTTTTAGTTCCAACGTCGAAAATTTAACATGTCGTAATTAATTAAATGTTTTTTTATTAGTGGAGAATTAAATAGAATTGAATGACGGTAAAAGTTATTAGTGAAACAATAAAAACTTAGCAATTCAATTAAAACACCGTTTTTTGATTTAATACCATACCGGTTGTATTTCCCCCCACCTTAATTACTTTCAAACAATACCATTAGTATTTTTGGGATTGCTACTATAGGAAATTTATTTTAGTATTGCTACTGTACGTATTGTAGATCTCTGCAATCCTATATGTATTGCTACAATACCTATCGGTTCCGTTCAATCACTGAAAAAAGTGGGATTATTGAGTGTTAATATAATACGGAGTATGATATTGTCCTGTTTGAAAATACAACTGTACCGATTACCGAACGAGTTTATGTATAAAGCGGAACCAATTTGTTTTAATTAATAGTTACACTACGAGTACAGACAGCCCAACAATCAGTACAGGCCAAAAAAAATTCGGTGGCAATTTTATAATTTAAGCGAAAAATCGCGACTTCCGCTAAATGAGCAATAATGTAATTTTAGTGAGCATCAGACCTATTTTATTGAGTATTAGGAGGCTAAAAATGAGTTTCACGATCTTTGCTTCATATATTCTAATTCTCTTTCTTTTTCTTATTTTTTTCTTTTATAAAAACTTATTAAATTATATCTATAATCCACTCTTAAAATATTTCAATATGCGAGTCCCTACTTTTGAAATATGCATTGAAATGACATTGTAAAAATGAGCATTACATCAGTACGAAATGAGCATACGTAACTACAAAGTGTACATTGAAATGAAAATCGTAAAGTTTTGTTAACGTTAGTTGAGCATCACGACATTTTAATTGAGCATCAAACATTTCAATTAATTTCAATATGTGAATCTAATGTAATATGATATGTTCAAAATGTGCAATATTTTAAAATGAGCACAAAGAGGTACTAACTAAGCATACATAACTTACAAAATGAGTATCAAAAAATTGAAAAGCTCATTTGTGTATGCTCATTCATTTTGGACTTTATACTCATTCGAGTTTAACATATTGTAATATGATACTTTCGAAATGTGCAATATTTTAAAATAAGCATTTCATTAATGCCAAATGAGCATATATTACTTATGAAATGAGCAACCAAAAATTCAAAAAGCTCATTTAAAATTTAAAATCTACAATACGCTCAAGTTTTCATTTGTGTATTTGAATTGTTTGGTATGTTCAATTTTTTTTATTTGTGTATACTCATTTAATTTTTTTAATGTGCTCAAATATTCAATTACATATGTTCAAATTTTTTAATTGTTATACACATTTGTTATAAACACTATACTCATTTTCAATATAACATAAAACTTAGTTAATTAACTAATTAATAAGTTGAAAAATATTAACATACAATATTAAAATGTAATATTAAAATATAATATTAAAATACATCATTATTAAAACACAAGTTGAACAGAACTAAAATACGGAGCAGAAGGTTTTCTCTTCGATAGAAGCCCAAGCCCACAACGTACATATTCTTCAGCGAGAATAATTCCTCCCTCAGCGCAGAACTAATGCGGAGCAAAAATTTCCTCCATTGGCGCAACGAGCGAGCAACAGACAAGCACCTGGACTTCAGGTGACACTTGTTGGATTCCCTCCTTAATTAAGAAGTTCATGAGAATTCTAGAATATTGCGGAAATGCCTAGAATTCTCTAGATGTGTGTAGAAACGTATTGAAAGTTTTAAAATATTTTGGAGCTTTCTAGAGAGACGCGGAATCATCCAGAAGCGTATGGAAGGGTGTAGAATATTTTAGAACATTGTGGAGTTTTCTAGAGAAGTGTGGAATTCTCTGGAATTGCGTGGAAGTGTGTGGAAGCCTCTAGAACATTCTCAAGCAGTGTGGAGTTCTCTAGTTCCTTCTAGAAGATTGATACTTCTTATAATAGTCTAGAAGTGTAGTAGTAGCATATAGAAAGTTTTAAAGAAGCATTGATTAGATTTGTATAAATAGGGGTGAGACTCCTCATTTCTAAGGGTGAGCCTAGAGAAAGAGAGCTTTGTGATAGCCTCCTCAAGTAATGAGAGAGAGTCTTGAGGAGAGCTCTTAGCTGAGTGAGCGCCTCCTAGAGAGAGGAGTGTGAAGGTGAAGTAGTCTTATCAATACTCGTACTTGCGCCCTATATTATTATCTATTTAAATGCGAGAAAACACACATCAATACTCATTTGAGTTTAACATAAAATACATTATTTCTAATATGCTCAATCTTAATTTGGGTATGTTAATTCCTTTTAGACGTATACTCATTTAAGTTTAATATAAAACTCATTTAAGATCAATAACAGGGAGGATTGCTCAGCAACGAAGTAGTCTCCCTTTGTCTCCGAAAATACAAGCTCAAACAACAAAACTACACCAGCAACTACGCTAGAAAGAAAGAGAGAGGAGAGGTAACAACACCGACGGAGAAAGGGTGAGTGATGAGCAGTGGCAACGAACCACAAGGTGGAGGAGAAGGGGGCGAGTGGTGAACGTTGGCGATGAGCAGGGTGCCTCGGTGTGAAATCAGATCAAAGAAGTCAAACGAGATTGAAGAGGCCAGGTGCAAAGTCCGGTGCGAAGCCAGATTCGAGAAGTCTGGTGCGAAGCTAGATTGGAGAAGTTTGGTGCGAAGCCAAGCGCAAAAGCCCCAAAAAAGTTCGGTTGTACCATGCGCACGATAAAGCCGGTTGTATGATATATTTTACCACCCCCAGCCTCCTATCAAACAGATACTAGCAAAAAACGGTTAGCAGCGGTCAACAAAGTAAAAGAAGAATAAGAAGGCCATTGAGACAGGGACCAAGCAGGAACCTGCCCATTAAATGCACTATATAGGTAGACTGGGATTGGGCCGGTTCGCTGTACCAATTCCAGTTCAATTGTCAGGCTATATGGTTCTCTCGATGATGAAGGATGTGGATATACGATAGTATATCAGAACTCCAGACCTACAAGCTGTTTTCTCAAATATATAATGTCTGAACTTGATATTAGCAAAACATTCAACAACAAAATCATCTACTATCAATCAGTCCCTGTGTTCAGTGTTAGTTGTCTCTGTTTCTAAAATACTATATATCAGCAGTGTTTTAATGTGTTGAAAGCTTATCACAACACAAATCAAAATAGGACTCCGTAATTGCCTTAGGTGAGTCTGTATTGTCCACTCCAAGTTGTGCTTTTGTATCCTATTCATATTGGAATTCAACGAAATCTCATGCTGCATAGACAACGAGTTCAACTACTTTAGACCTGAAATAATCAAAAGATTATAATAAGCTCATGAAAATGCAATACATTATTATTAGTTCAATAACAATAGCATGTATCAACTCATTTACAACATCAAAGAAATGACCTAAAATTTAACAAAATAAAAACATACTCAAAAGGTGTCACAATGTGAGTTTATCAGTGAACCTATCAGTGAACCGAGCCAGCCAATGACATTTGTGAGCTCACATGTTACAATTTAGTAACTTACAAAGTTACAATGGTTGCATGCAAATTTATTCAAGCCAATCCTCTACTAGAAATCCCAATAGAGATATTCATGCCACAGTTGCCCATAAGTTTATCAAGAAATATTCCAACAGTGCCCAAGCTTTTGACAACGACAAACTGGCACAGTAAAAGAACATGTTTCATCTTGGTGTACAGCCAACATAAAAATATAAGCATATCACTATAATCTTAAAATAAAGAATGTCTGAAGCAAGGCAAACACCTTCAGACAATTAAAAAACACTATTTTTGAATAGTTACCGTACTTACTAACACAGGTTGTGACTTGTGAGCCTGTCATGCAGCTACCCAGCAAGAGCTGCCGCCAATAATCCGACCTTTCCATCCCTGGATTATCCAATTGCCATCTTCCAGAAACAGAAAATCTTTGTCATATCCTTCCCTTGCCTCGTATCTTAACTTCTTCGCAAGTCTAGGGTTTACAGCCATGGGCTTGAACCCAGCCCTCATGATGCGAGATTGCCACTGCTTGCATGTTTCAGTCCTTTGTAACCTTTCCTTTCCCTCACATGCTACAATATTCATTATTTCGCGTCCCACGAATTCTTTTTCCAAATTCAATCTCTGATTATCATGGCGCGGTAAAGTAGCATCAAGCAAATCAAAGATAGCAGTATAGAAGAGGAGAGCCTCTCGAAACCGAGTAACAAAGAAAGGAGAGTTTTGAGGTCCACTGCACACAGTTTGAGCATATATATGAGGATTTACTTCCCTGATTAACTTTAAAACAGCATCCCTAGGACTATCCGCACCAACTGCTGTCTCATCCAATAAGTGATGGAACCGAACTAAACTGTTTACAGCAACTACCTCGCCACTCACAAGCTTCAATTCATCAATCTTAATTCTCTCCCAATTCATTTTTGTTATGGCATTGTACTCAAATGGTACATTAAAATGCTCGCAATATTTTGCCAAGCGGCGACCGGTCTCATCTACCATTTGTGATGGACGAAATCCAGGTTGGGGAAGCTCAATCCCTGTTATTCGAAGTTTTGGAGGGCCACCAGGTCTTTGTGAAAGATCCCGGATAAGTGTTGGCCACTGGATACCATAAAGAATACCAAAATCTATAACGTGCAGTGATGCACCATTTGAAGCTACTTCGTAAATCATTCTGTTTGCAAAGAAAATTGATAATCTCATCCATGGCCAAGATGACATATAGGATTTTAGCATCTCTGCAATTATGGTGTTATTAGGAGTTAAAGCCACATATAATTGCGTCCCAGATCCAGCCAATCGTGCCTCAAGACCATCAGCGAAATAATTAGCCAGCCTTTGGTTTGCATCGCCAGTAGGCGAAGAGTGCTGCCTGATCTTTTGTAATTTATCTTTTGCAGCCCTATAATCAGCATCAGCAACAGATTGTGCGCAGCTGACTAAAAGAGACTCCAGATCCACAACTTCACCACTATCTCTCCCTTTCTTTAAATGTCTCTTGTGACCACTTCGAGTGTTCTGTTGTGTGCCGACTCTAGGTAGACAATCATTATCATCAGAACATAGCAAAACCTTGTCAAACACCTCTGATAACTCAATGTCCTCATACACTGCACAGTGCTTGCTTCTGCTTTCTTCTTCTGACCCACTTTTGTCTGAATGGTAATGCTTCTTTCCATTATACAGATCTGGAGAAACCAAGTAGTTATCCAAATTGATAACCAAGTGTTTATTGGCATGAAGGAATCGATTAGCATCATCTACACCTCTCTTGAATTGCAAGATGGCCTCAGCATCATCATTAAAAAATACTTTACTAACCGAATTAGCACTTAGGAAAGCGTCCATTTGAGAAAACAATTCACTATCAAAGGTATATAAAGAACTGTTTAACCCATCCGAGTTAGCCTGACTTGATGACTTAACGGGGGTATCAGGATGCCTACAGGCTACAGATGATTCAGATTCCCTGGGATCAACAATAGACAGAATGTCAGAGTTATGGAGATCAATACGCTCAACCCCATACCTGGAGCTTCCAGCATTACTGTGAACAGGTGATGAAGGGTTGTCATACAAGGCTTCGTAGAATGAATTCTCAGTAGCACTAAGAGCAATGGGATCAAAAAATATGTTCAGATTGTTCCCATCAATGCTCTCCTCCTCCAATAGAAACTGGCTAAGGTACTTATGCACGTAATCAGTGTCCAGAGTAGGAGAATAAGTACCAAGGTTAGGAAATTGTGTAATTGAAGGCGCATCCTTGTGGACGTCTGGAATATCCAATGGTTGTTGAATTGTAGAAAAAATGACTTCATTCTCCGGGTCAAGTCTGTTTAAATAGGAGTCAGGCAACCTTTTAAGTCGATGATCCATATCCAGTTATGAGAAGAAACATAACCTATACCCACACATAGAAGATGGGTAAACAAACAAACAGTTTAGAAAGCATTGAACTTAAATAAGGAGTTAAAATGTTTAATAACTACTCTGTATTGTCTAGTAGATCAACTACAATATTATATATTTATAGTTTTTGATCATTTCCTCATCTATTAAGCATTATAAGTTCCAAATGGTTTTTAAGAACCACAAATCTACACCCATTGAAACTGGAATAAAATAACATCCTTATGTTGAATGTTCACATTCCTACAATAGGGACTAAAATTGATACAGTTTAGGAAAACCAATGGAAGTATAACCAGTAATTATTTTTGGGCTACTCCTGCTATATCAGCGCACCAAACACTTCAAAGGATTCCGTAGAAATGTGACTTTCTCCACACACACAAAATGTATGTGAGACTCAACAAGAACACGCATTGAATAAAACACGTCAAACCATACTTTTCAAAAAAGCAATCGAACAATCGGTGAATTCACTGCCAGTTCTACTCTACCTCAGAATCATATAGTAGCTTCAAACATCTCCCAATCACAATATGAGTGCGTACCTTAGAGGGGTATGATTTTTCTGAAATTCAGAAACAGGGGCATGGAATCTGAGGCTTTTGAGCAAAGGACTTGAGATAGAATGAGAAATCAAGTACTCCGTGCACTGCACTACTGAGAGCTAGAAAATCAGTGTCAGCTACAGCAATAAATCCATGGCAGCTGGTTTTGTCATCTTCTTCAAAAAGGAAATCAAATTCTAACGCATACGGTCTAAAAGTCTAATAATACTGATTATTGTTTAGTCCAAAAGTCGTGGCCTAGAAGAAAGATTTAGCGCCGTAAATAGCGCGGGCTTTTGTAGTGACTTGATGCCTTCACATTCAGATGTTTGGCCATATTTCCGAAATTGCATACAAGTCCCTGTTTTAGGGAGTATTGAATACAGTATTTGCATGTAGGATTGTAAACGAATTGAATCGAATAGTGCGATTTTGTATTTATATTTGTTTAAATTTTCGAATACGAGTCCGAATTCGAATATGAAATTAATATTATTTTTTATTTGTATTTGTTTAACAATACGAATAGTTAACGAATCATATACGAAATCGAATCGATTTGATCATAAGTTAAATATTAGTTTTTTTACAAGTTAAATATTAGTTGAATATCACTTTAAAACAAATTTTCCTATATTTCTTATGTTATAAATGCATACTATACTATGACTTAATATGTATTTAAAACAAATTTTCCTATATTTCTTATATTAATACATTTTTTCTTAAAATTTAATGGATCGATGAATTTTTAGGTTATGCACAATATGCTAAAATGAATCACTTTTATGATTACTATACATAAATATTTTTCAAAATTTTTGAAATAAACACTAACACACACATATTAGAAATTATACATATAATGTGTGAAATAAATTGATAATTGAATATATTTAATACTTTCAAATTTAAATCATAATTTGTGAATCCAAATCATGGATCAAATTAAAATCATTTGTTTCGTTTGCAACCCCCACTTCTTATGTTACTTCTGATTTATTACAAATTGGCTTGGAATTTGTATACCTAAATGTATATATGGGCTACACTTTGAGGGTATGGCTAGCTTTTAAAAGTTATTATAGTGCTATTACTATTATTATTTTAATTATTAATATTTATCACTAATATTAATCGAATATATTTGATTAACATTCGAATCGAATATAGTGATATTCGTATTTGTATTTGATAACAATTCGAATCACATTTAGTATTTTTATTTGAATTTGAATTTTCGAATACGAATCGTCTTGTACGAATTCGAATCGCGAACAGAGCATAAATTATTTGATTCGTTTACAACCCTATTTGCAAGTGGCAATCGCAAGCTGAAATCTAACCTCAGAAAATAGGTCCGCAAGATTTGATCGTTGGGAAAAGGTACAAATATACATTGTAGTATCGGTGTGAGAACAAATATACTCATGTTTTATTTTCCGGAACAAATATACCCCTGAAGTGTATATAAAATTGCATGTATACCCTTGAACTTTTTAAAAGGTACAAATATACCCCTCATATTCTTACAAAGGAGCAAATATACCATTATTGACTTTCAATTGATAAAATAAATTTCAGAAAACACCAAACATAAATTATAAATTCACAATTAAAAAAAATAAAAAATAAAAAATGTACTTGTGTCCAATTCTCCCTTTTATTGTTTGTATATCACATTTAAATATTTTTAGTATAAAATGTTAATTCAAAACTTTACTATATATTTAAGATTCTTTTGAAAAAAGTGTTAACATATGTGCTCCAATATAAAAATAATAATTTTTTGCATTCTTTGCACTATAAAATTACATAATTTGTCTGATAATAAATAGCTCAAGAATACAAAATAGTGAATTTAATTTTATTAAGGTTAAACAAAATCAAAGAATGTTATTTCAAAAAAATATAACAATGTGTTCGAAATTTCATAACAAGACTAAAATTAATATTTATGAATTTGAAGTGCCAAAAATATCAAACCTATTGACAATAAATGCCTGCCGATATAAAAATATTTTGAAAGTGCCAAAAATAGTCTAATTTTTTTACACATTTTCATTAATAGTCTAATTCTTTGTACACTCTTTTTTACAGATATAAAAAAATCGCACAGAATTTTAGAGGCCGTTTGGCAATTTTGTTTGTTGACTTATCGGACTTATCAGCCAACTTTTTTACCAAACACATAATTTTTACTTTCGTGCGCTGAATTGTGTAATAATAAAAAAAAGTAAGGTTGGTGTTTCTTTTCTGGCTATATTGGCTGAAGTTACTGTAGATGACCATTTTAGCGATTTTACATATAATTTTTTCTTTATTTTATTAATAACATATAATTTAAAAATATTTTTTTCATAAATCAGCAAAATCAGCCAATGCAGCCCGAACTTCATAAATTCCAGCAGAATCAGACAAATCGTCCGATTTTCGTGCTACCAAATGGGATCTTAGTTTTTAAAGTTATGCTACAGATAAAATGTAGACCGAAAAAAAGTTTAGAAAAGAAAAAAAAAATGACAACAATAATCTCACATTTGACCGATCTTTTTATAATAATCTCACTTTTACATAATCCCAGAATAACCCCACTTTTGCACCCCATCTTCTATCATTGGAACCTGGCCGGTTGATGACCTACTATACTCAGGGACGGATTTGGGGGGGGGGGGGGGGGGGGACGACCGCCCCCTTTGGGCTTTCAAAAATTTCTACTATATATGTAATATTTTCATAAAACGTTCATACTTTAATTAAATATATATGTTTTCACCCCCTTAACTTTTAGTTTTCAAAATTAATATATAGAACCAACCTTACATAATGTAATACTTAATTGGAGATTTAAAAGAAGTAACATCTAAAATCAAGTACATGAGTTAAACAAATAAACAATAGAGCAACTCATTGTTTAATACTTAGGATACTTATTATATAAAAATTCCTAGTTTTGTAATGTTTAATTATCTTTATTAGATAATTAGTACTCGATTTTGTAAATATCAAACGATATTAAATACTGGACACACTAATTAAACAGTTTTAGACCATGTGAAGTTAATACAAAATATAAATATTTGTTGACATTGAATTACATAATTCATTTACTTCTTACTTTCTAAAAACAATTTGTTGCATACATAATAAACTTTAACTTAATGTAGCATTAATACAAATATAATATGCACCATATAAATTAACAATATTGCATTTAATATTATTCTAAAAATAATAATCTCATACTCCGTACATACTATTGCAATATTAAGAAAACTCATCGTGACCCACGAACACCCTCCTTGGTAGACAAAAATTGCAATTCAAAAATCAATATTTTTTGATAAATTCATGTTTTTAAACAAGGCAAAAATTATTTAAACTCTTTACCTTCAAATAATTTAATAAAATATCATATATCCCGTTTAATTTTCAAATAACTTTTCTTTAATTTGTCATTTCTTATTACGTTTTAATGTATCAATACTTTTTTGTAGAGCACTTACAGGTATACAATCAAAGTTATTTTTATGTCGTATAAACTTAGAATGTAATAGATTTAAATACCATCATGTATGTACTAATGAAATTTTTTGAATAAAAATTAGTCGCGGAGTCCTACACTATAGAAAAAATTTGCTCCGCTGAACTATTGAAAAAAATTCCGCACCGCTACACTAGTAAAAAAAAATCGGCCCACGAGACTAGTGAAAAAAAATTCACTCTTTATCTAACCAAAAAAATTCGGCCCCCTTGACTCTAATTCCTAGATCCGTCCCAGACTACGCCCGGTTCTTTGTCTTTTCTTTAAAGATCTTACATATATAACCTCACATGTCACAAATCTTCTCAAAATAGTCTCATGTTTCATTTTTTCTTTTTTTATCCTAAAATTTTTCTTTCCTTATTTTTATCGCTACACTTTTAATTCCATTTTACATCCTTTTGTTTTTGTTTCTTTTCCATATTTATAATTTTATTTCTCACTCTATTTTCAGACTTTTTTTTATAAAATTTCCTTTTTGGACAGATTTTTTATCATTTTATTCTTTCAGTATTTTTATTTCATTTCCCTTTTTACGTGTTAAAAGCTTTGTGATAAAAATAGGGGGGAAATGGGGAAGAAGAAAGAAAGCAAAAACCTATTGAGGAAAAGGAAAGAAAAAACATAAGTGGGTTAAATAAAAGAAATAATAAGAAGATGAAAAAAGAAAATAATGTGGCAGTGTTGTGAGCAGATTTGTGCAAGGTGAGATTATTTATATAAGATTTTCAAAAATAGGCAAAATATCTAGTATAGTAAGTCATCAACTTATCAGGGTTCAACAAAAAAAGATTATGTGCAAAAGTGATATTATTCTGTAATTACGTAAATGTGTGATTATTAAGAGAAGACCGGTCAAATGTGTGATTATTATCAAATTTTCCTTTACAATTAAAATGACAAAAATTGTATTACTTTTTTGTACACATTGTCAAAAGAAATCCACCGACAATTTTTCCGGTATAAGTAGACCACGTCGGTCGGAAAAATCAAAATTTTGTACTATAAAAGTCTGGCACAAATAAAAAGTGTTTTCAAACTAGTTAAAAAATTATATTTTTGTACACATTTTCAAAATCTATCACACTAACAATTTTTGTCTATATAATATTAGGCCACGTAAAAATGTTAGCCAAAAAAATCAAACCTATTGACATAAATGTCTGCGGTCTGCCGATATAAAAATATTTTGAAAGTGCCAAAAAATAGTCTATTTTTTACACATTTTCAAATCACATTGTGTGGCACTTACAGTCCCAATAAATATTTGGCACTAAAAAAAGGATGAGGCAGTGTCTGACATTTATTTGCTGCAAAAAAAAAAAAATCTGCTCACATTATTTTCTATCACGTAATTTCATAGAAAAATAGCCTTTTAAAGGATTTTGAAAATAATTGTATTTTGAGCAAAGATCATTTTTCCTAGAAAATTATGTGACTGACACACAACGTCGGCTGGAAAAAACCTTTTTACGGAGAATAAATGTCTACAATGTCTCAACCTTTTGTGCCAATATGGCAATATCGGATATTTATTGGCCCACACTGTCAGTTCTAGACAATATGATTTGAACACAAATGTTCATGTCCGGAATTCCGGACAGGACCCGCCGTCCGGACGCCGGCGTTTGGCCACCTTTCCGGTGGCATTTGTTGATGAAATTTTTATGTCATATTCTCCATCAAGTCTAGTTTATCTACAAAAAAATTCAGCCAAAAACCCAATCTGTTGATGAGACATATAGATAGTATATGATTGTCTCGTGTTGGTTAGGGTTGGCTATATTAATTTTTGACTTGCCTCAAAATACATTTTCATTTTTGAGATTCATGTTACTTTCTAAGTTTGAAATTTATACCCTTCTTACTCTTTATTTTTAGTTTTTAACAAGTAAAGATTTTTTATTAGGGTCCGTTTGGTACTCTATGTTTCGTCATGTCTGCCAAATTTTGTAACAAATGCGCAATTTTTTTTTCACACACCGAATTTTTTATTATATAGGTACTTCACTCCCGTGCAACGGGCCGCACGGGTGGAGTAACTAGTCTAGTTAATATGAAAACGTGACAAGTATGAACTAAGTAATATTAAATTGTGATTTGTGACAAATGAGCGATTCTTGAATCTAACTAGTCATGGACCCGGGCCGGGCCGGTTCCGGTTCCGGGCCCGGCCAGGCTTTTTTTTGGGAAGGAAGGCCCGGGACCAGCCCGGGTAGCCACCGGGTCCGGGCCGGGCCTCCGGTTTGTTTGTTTTTTTTTTGCTTTCCTAACCCCCCTCACCCCCCCCCCCCCAAAACCCCCAAACCCCTCCTAACCATCAAGCCCAACCCGGGTGTATCCCAAAAAATGAAAAAAAAAAAAATCAATTAGGCTCGGACCCGGGCCCGACCCGGCCAGGCCGGTTCGCCAAATACAAGGCCCGAGCCCGGACCCCCCCCCCCCCCCACCGGGCCTAGGCCCGACCCAGAACCGGACCCGAGAACCGGGCCAGTTCCGGTCCCGCACAGTAGCGGGCCGGGCCGGTCCCGAACCGGGTCCAATGACTAAATCTAACGCTCCAAATTCTTTATCATTTCTCTCCATAGATTGTGTTCTCATTTGATCCAAATAATGTGTGTGTGTGTGTGCGCGCGTGTGCGTGCGTGCGTGTGCGCGTGCGTGCGTGTGCGCGTGCGTGTGTGCGTGCGTGTCTGTGTGTGTATTAAACACATAAAACCACCAGACTCGGTGAGGTAAGAGTTGGGAAAGTCTTACCAATTTATATATTTTCATATATGGGTATGTATTTAAAAAAAATACTTCCTCTGTTCTCTAATACTTGTCTCTCTTTCCATTTTGGGATGTTCTCTAATAGTTGTTCCTCTTTCCATTTTTAGAAAATTTTATCAATAAATATATCTTTATACTCTCATTCTCTTTCATACTTTTTCATTCTCTTTCCTACTTTCATTTAAACAAAACTCACTACACATTTTATCTTACCCCTATTAATTCCTTCTTAAAACTTGTGTCAAAGGCTATACTTCCATCTATTAGAGAACACATGGAGTATAAAAAATCAAAATACTGAGTATACAATACTAAATAAGCTTAATTAAAAAATATTATTAAATCATAATTATGGCAATATTTGATAACTATCAGATGATATTTACAGGGCCGGCCATGGGGGCATTTTCCCTAGACACTTGTCTAGGGTCCCCAAATATTAGGGGCCTCCAAAATTTTAAAAATAGCCATTAGTTTTATATACGGTATGTTTAATGTGAATTGATTAAATTTCAATTCCCACGGCAGTTCGGCGGAGTCATGCCGATTGCCGACATTCAAAGCAGAGATCGAGAGCTTCATGCGATTCTTTCTTACTCTGTGTTTTCTTATTTCTCTAGCTTTCATCAAAAGAACGTCGGCAATATGACATTTTTTAAAGTACATTGAAATGAATTGTCTACCTGACTGTCTAGGGCCTCTAGATATTTATCAAAAGAACTTATTGTACAAAAATAAGGGTACAAATAGAACTTTTGAGAGTATATATTTGAATGCGACGACTACTAAATGTTAAAAAAATATTTTCAACTACAACATAAAAAACGATGTTCGAGTAACTTATTTCAATGAAGGTTGTAAAATAATAAGTATATAATATGTAGTAGCAAGTAACTTTGGTAGTAAACGATCAATAATTAAAACGGTGGAAGTCTCCGTTGTAGCAATTATAAAAAAAACGGTGGAAGACAAAACTAGATGTTTGTATTTTGACCAATTCGCAACCCGTATTGTCAACCTACAAAACGTGCATGTTGACCCACGAAACCGGTTATTTAATCGGGTTTAAAATGAAAGCTTTAACCTACTATGAAACAGGCTACCCCAAGGTATCTTTGTGGGCTTTTTAATACTATCTTTGTTCCATGTAAATGTTCATATCCACTATTCTCCGATCAATGTAAAATCTTCTTAATCTTTTATTTTATACATCCATTTTTATCAGATTTGAGTTTTTTGCGACTTTATAAAATTTCAATGTAGTTTCTGAATGTGTAAATTCTATTTGCTAAAAAATCTAATTACGAACAAGAATATGTAAATTTCATCTGAAAACAGTCTATATGCTTTAGTACAGGTAGTGGTGGACTCGGGGCGGGCCACCCGGCTCGTGAACCGGCCCGGTCCGCTATTGTGCGGGCCCGGACCGGCCCGGTTCATGGAGCCCAATACCAGGCTATGACTCGAGCCGGAGGTAATAGCGGGGCGTGTAGCCGGGTACGGGCTAGGCAAAAGTTGAACCGGCCCGGCCTAGTTCAGGTCTAACGGCTAGTTTTTAAAAAAAATAGCCAAACAGGGCACTAGTCGTTGCCAAACAGTCCCAAACGCCTATATAGCCGTTGGGTGGGGGGTGGGGTGGGGGGGTCCCGGGCGTGGGGGGTGGGGGGGGTCGGGGTGGGAGTAAAAAACCCTATAAATACTCCCATTTTTATACATTTTTCTACGCCAATTGATTATTAATTATATTACTCCCACCATCCCAATTTGATGGTCTCATTTCTTTTGAGCACAAATTTTAATAAAGTGGTTGAAAAAGTAAAAGTTGTGGTTGAGATTTGAGTAGAAAAAGGTGAAATGATGTGGACCACATCTTTCTTTCCAAAAAGGGAAACATGACCATCATTTTGGGACATCCCAAAAAAGAAATATGGGACCATCATTTTGGGACGGAGGTAGTTATTTATTAGAAAATGTATTTCATATTGTAATTTTTTTTCTCAATTCTCAAATGTAGTTCCTATTTCAAATAAATGCTCTTGAACTTTGTTTTTAATATCCAGCACTTGTATAAATCAGTAGGGGAAAAACAATTGGAAACTTACCCAGCCCGGCGGGTGGCCTGACCCGTGACCCGGGCGGGTGGCCCGGCCCAAACCGGCACCGGCCACAACACGGGCCGGTCTCGGGCTTCGTTCCAGCAATCTGAGGCTCGGCCGGGCCTAGGCCCGGTCCATGTCTAAGTACAGGGTAAGACTGTGTACTTCTGATCCCCCTTCCCCACGGTAGGTGATGATGATGATGATGATGATGATGATGATGATGATGATGATGATGATGATGATGATGATGATGATGATGATGATGATGATGATGATGATGATGATGATGATGATGATGATGATGATGATGATGATGATGATGATGATGATGATGATGATGATGATGATGACAACGAACAAATATATGTTAACTTTATGGTCAGACAAATATCGTAAAGCGCGTGGAAATCTTTCTACGAGACAGAGGAAGTAACTATTTGTTTTTAGAGACCGAAAAGAAAATTAATGTAATTGCTTGATTTAATTTGTTTCGTATATCAAGCCGTTGTAATTAAATAATGCTAAAAGATACACAAAAAAAAAAAAGATACAAATGCTAAAAGATGTACGCTAAAAGATACACACTTTCTATTCAGTGTAACTTCTATAAAAATTATTGTTTGAAAAGCTCTTAAAAATCATTGTGACAACTTGCAAACATACCAATATACACATTTAGAAACTTTTAAAATACGAGTAAGACAAAAGCTAAAAAGAAGAGATCTATTTCTACTAAACATGCACTAAGAGTTGAAACCCTAAGAGTTTGCATAAATAATCTTTTAAATTAGAGCCAATTTGACAACTCTTTTTTGAACTTATCAAACTTATTAAGTTATTAGTTAACATCTTTACCAAACATATAACTTTTGATTCCAAAAGTTAAATTGTATTGTATTCAAAATAAGTAGAGTTGAAATTACTTAGCTAAATTGACTTAAGTTAGTGTAGATTACCATTTAACTATTTTTTATAATCTTTTCTTTAATTTATTAACAAACTATATTTTAAATTTCATTTCTCCATCATTCAACAGACTCAATCGCTTCAATAATAACTTCGTCAACCTCTCAGCTGATTCAACCAATTTCAATATTACCAAATGAACTCTAAATAAATACAAATTATTGTTTGACACATTAAAAAAATTGAAGCCATAATCCATGATGGAATAACTCAGGCTTCTTGCTCCAAAGATGATGGCAGCAGACACATTACAATGCATCAAACTTTGTGATACTTAAATTTCTGCCCTACGTTAAATCTGCTTAATTTGCTACCATTTCCTTCCAGCACTAGTAATCTCACTGCCTGAACCCCTTCACTCAGTGCAGTGTTCACCTGTTCCCGTTCCGTTTCACTAAATTTCTGGAGTAAAAACGCCTTCATATCCATTTTTCCTGGAGGGTTCCCGATCCCAATGCAAAGTCGTGGGAATTGATGGCAACCATCCAGATGCTCCATTACACTTTTCACCCCATTGTGAAGGCCATGGCCACGTTTAGGCTTAAGCCTCAGTACCCCATTTGGTAAACTCAACTCATCATGAACCAGTATGATATGCCGCAATGGCACTTGATAAAATGTAGCTAGTGGTCCAACCGATTCTCCACTAAAATTCATGTAAGTCTGAGGTTTGGCTAATATGATGGGCACCTCTCCAATCGAACCAATTCCTATCAATGCCTTCGATTGCAGTGTGTTCAACAAAATGCCTTCTTCTTGAGAAATCTGATCAATCATTTCGAAACCAACATTGTGACGTGTTCCATGGTATTTGCTACCAGGGTTACCCAACCCCACAATCAACCACGGTGTGTACTCAACCTTGATTTGATTTGGCTCTAGCGGTGAAGCCAGTGATGCTCGCATCCTCACTTGAGCTAAATTCCTTGGATAAAAAATGGGATGTCTGGGGTAGGTTATTTTGCAACATGTAGGAGGGTATACAGCACACAACATTGACCTCTGTCGAATTGCCGACTTCTGATGCTTGCCGAGGAGTTGTGAAGATGAGACAGCAGATGGGTAGAAGAGCTGAAGAGGTAATTAGTTTAACACAGCATGAAATACAATATGTAAACAAACACCACTGAATTCCTTTAGCAAGTAAGAAATTTTAGTTACAGTTTCATAGCAATGCCTGCCTTGCAGTAGTGGATACTGATTGCAAAAACTTAACAAACAGCATAGTTGCAAGTAGAGGGGGACATAAAATTTCAGAAATTGGAAAAGTAAAAGTAAATGGATTACATATTTAGTGTAAAATGGGGGATATTCTAACAGAAAAGGTGTTAATTACGTTCTTAAGTTATTTTCGCTTTGCTTTTGGAAATTTTGCATATTTGCTTCCCATTTATTTCAATAGGCAGCTTTTGTGTCTATTGTTGGACTATTTGGATCTTTAGCAATATTTTTCCAAGTGGGTATGCCCAGACTCAGGTTGTCTGGGATTTAGAGATAAAGTTCATTTAACACATAATTTATTTAATACAAAAAACTAATACATATAAAATAACTTCAATTGCAAGAAGATAAAATACAAAAAGAAATACTACTAATATTTTACAAGAATAGAAGGTTTCATCAAAGTCAAATAAAAAAAAAACATTACAAATTTAACTCTACAACAATCCACCACATCATATGATAAATTAGATAATACTAAACACTTGAGAAGATTCTCGCAAGTAACTATCATATTAAAAACAATGGGGTTAATACTTTAAAAACTATTTTTTAATTTAGTTAAATACTCGTAACCAATAAATTTTAAACATATACAGGTGTGATTCATGATGTCTAATTGTTTGATCTTACAAAGTTACCAACCACATTGTTGTGATAATGAGCTATGGTATTCCAACCATTCATGTTCAGAAATTCGAAAGGTTATCTGATTTCTTGGTAAGGTAAAAGAAATTTGGGAATATGCTTAGCAAACATAAATGATGCTAACCGCCCCTGTTAACAACAAGAATGTTTTGAATATTATTTATAAAAAGTTGCCAACAGAGTTGTATTATAAAAATAAATCACATTGATATATTAATTCACTGTCTTTGCAATACATGTTAAAAACAGTGCACTGCAAAGGTATTTGTAACAGTATTTCAGTAACTGTCTTCACACATCAAAGAGAAACTTAAGCTTTTGTTCTATGCTCTAACACAATCTAATTTGTTAACACATTAACCTAAACCATATTTTATCACTTCCTGTCATCAAATGTTGGGTTAAAAATAATGAACAAGTGCCCTTTCACATCAAAACAGATATTGAAAAATGAGATTAAGTTCAAGGATATAAAACGAAGACTTAAGATTGAATTGAAAAAAAAAAACAAGATAAAGAAATGAAGTTGGAATGATCGAATAAAGAAGGGAAAACAGTCAATTTGGTCGACGTACTATCACGAAAAAGTCAATTAGGTCCTCATACTTTAAAAAAATCAATCAGATCCCCGAACATTAAAAAATGTTCAATTGGGTGATTTAATAGGATACCCGCGGACGTGACGCACACGTGGCGACCCACACATGTGCCACATCATCCGGAAACAACTGTTTGGGCTTCCGCGTGTGCGCCACATCTGCAAAGTCACTGCTGACTGGTCTGCCACATGTGTGCCACATCAGCGGTGACCTGCTGACATGGCGGGTAACTTGCTAATTGACCCAATCGAACATTTTTTTAAGTTCGGGGACTTAATTGATTGTTTTTGTAATAGTACAGGGCAGAATTTTTACATTTCTTTTGTTCTTAAATTTAACTAATTGAAATTTCAGAAAACTACAATTTAGTAATTGAACAAAAGATGGTCAATTGATAATTGAATTTGAAATTTCTCTAAAACACAATTTGGAAAATAATAACAAAAAAAGGACAATGAACATGTAAAACGGGAAGGGGCCTAATCAGGGGCGGAGCCAAGGGGGTCAGGGACCCAGTGTGGTAAGCCCCCCCCCCCCCCCCCCCCGAGAGTTTCACAATACAAAGATCTGAAATTCCTTCGATTTAATATATTATGGCTCACGTAACTCATTACGAATAAAAAGATATGACTTCTAGAAAATCAGCACTATCTAAACTTAAAATTAGTGAAATTTGATGCGTAATATTGATTATATTCCCAAATCTTAAAAATAGCGTATAGTTTACTTATTACGTGACAAATCAAAGACAACCTATCTTACTGATATGAGTGTCTACTCAATAGCCGATTCTTTTGTGGTAAAAAATTTTGATATTAAGTCGAGTGAGAGGGGAGGGCACAGTGTCACATTTGAGGTACAACCGGTGCGGAAACCCTTTGACTAAAGCCATATAAACAAGTTTATTTTACATGATATATAAGACATGTATATCAAATCTATATCTCTGTTAGTCTCATTTAAATTGTCATTTATCTAAACTACATATGAAACATTCAACTTCGAAATTCTGGGTGCCATGTAAGAGGAGATGCAATTATTATTATTATTGAAAAGTCAAATTTTTAGAACCGGTCGTGCATCTAATAGCGGAATGTCGTGCATCCAATAGCGGAATGAGGGACGATGGTGACGATGTGTCGACCCAGCTCGACCGAACACTCCAGATAGTCGTGCATATAATAGCGGATTTTTATTTATAAAAAGGCTAATTCTTGCTATACACAAAACATAATCATTATCCTTAGAAATGAATTAGGCCTAGTGGTGGACTCAGAAAAACGATCCAGGTGTCGAAACTCAACTATATACAGAATGAAAACAATGGATCGTTTTTAGACAATATTGAAGTTGAATGTTTCATATGTAGTTTAGATAAATGGCAGTTTAAATGAGACTAATGGAGATATAGATTTGATACACATGTCATACATATTACGTAAAGTAAACTTGTTTTATACGGCTTTAGTCGAAGGGTTTCCGCACTGGTTGTACCTCGGATGAGACATTGTGCCCTCCCATCTCACCCAACTTAATATCAAGATTTTTTATCACAAAAGAATCGGCTATTGAGTATGCACTCATAACAATAAAATAGGCATCATCCACATGACCCCATCAAAATAAATTTTCACATAGGAAAACTTCTTAGTTCGCTCTTAAGTAAATAATTAAAGATAAAAGGCGAAGGTTTCGGAAAAAATTATTTATACAAAGAAAAATTAGTCACGAAAAACTGAAATAGACAAAAAAAAAACTGAAGTACGCATAAAGCTCACCTCAAATTTAGGTAATCCTAACAGACTATGGAATAACAAAAGACCATGAGAATTAAGCCTGCTCATTGGTGGAGTGTAATGATCTTATTGTTTGAGATGTTTAATTGAAAAGTAACTTTTAATTTTTTTTCTTTGAGAAGGAAAGGAACCTGACATTAAGTTTAATTTAAAATACCTCGCTATGAGATTTCTATTTGTCATTTTCAGCTTCCTTTTATTGCCATTAGATAGAAAGTTCAACATATCTGCTACGGATAATTGTAACGCAATAGAGAAATAATTGTGTATGGTGAAAGGGAGGGATAAATCAATCTTCATATCTGCTAAGGATAAAAATACCAAAACATAATGTTAAGATTATACCTCCACTTTCAAGTTTCAACCACTCAATCTGCTCCTACAAAAATCATATCAACCTCATTCATGCTATATTCCACTCCAAAGTCTACTAATCAAGAGCTTTACGGGAACGTCTACCTTGGCTAGCTGATTTGCAAAGCTTAGTCCGCTCCAGTCAGGCTTCCTTCCCCTACACCAGCATAGAGTTGTTTTACCTTAATTACTTGACCTGAAATTATTGAATTTATACTTGTGACACAAAACAGAAATACAAAGGAACCGCTTTTTTACTTTTTAGGAGGAAAAATATCGTCACCAACGGCAACTATAGTAAGACCAGGAAACTCAACCAATGCCAAGTTCAGAACTGTCAGTAGAAAAGGATAAAAATACAATAAGCTAGTCATGCTTCAGACTTCTGGATGGCATTCATCCAAATCTAAGCCCGAGCAAGAAAGCCAACAACTTTAATATTTCAGTGGCCGAAACAGAATTTTTTTTCAGGGGCCGCCAGGACGAAAAATTGATAATAACCGTAACGAAAATTAAATACATCTATCTAATTGCTTTTATTCAAAACATTATAAAATAGGTTTACACAAAAATACCAAACTAATGGATTTTATGTCATGCAATTACTAAATAAGGAGTATACCACTTGTTCATAACACATTGAAACACATATAACTAAATATAAACATAAAGCCAACTGTATCGCTACTCAAAACAATTATAAGTTGCTCCATATATGTATATATCACATAATATTCTAAAATCAACACTACACAATACCACCAAATCACGGAATCATAAAACTATATTTACAAATTACAACATAAGAAGGTGGTTATACATGCTATTTCATCTCTCACAAAAAGAAATTTCAATGTTTCAATTACCTTAACTCACTTGATTCTTGGGAGTTGTGGTATTGTCGTATTGAAGCTGGAGGAGTTGAGATTTCAGATTTGAGCGATTGAGCAATTGAGACCGCCGACCGCTATAGCTATAACCTTCTTCTCAGCTTCGCCGGCCGCCCGGACTCGTTTAATTCGCAACTCGTTAGCCGTTTCTCGTTCTCGCTGAACCGAGACTTCTGCAGCGAAACGGTGCCTGGACGAAGAGCAGCAACAGACGACGTATGGACTATGGAGAGCAGTGGCAGGCGATGGAACAACTAGAGGCAACGGAAGGCAGCAACCCGCATGAACTCATAGATTATTAGGCCCATCACCTAATTGTTGTTCTTGGCCGAGAGTGTGTTTATCTTATTCAGGTTTTTGAGGTGATGGTTATCCTCTTTCTTGGCATAGCCCATTCTTTTAATCTTTTTGTCTGTATGATTTATATACATACCCTATATTTATATACTCCCTCCCTCCGTTTTTTAATTAAACTTCACTCTTTGACTTCACACAATATAAGGAAAGAAATTTGACTTTACTGTAGTGTACACTGTTGAGGCACTGTTTGACACTGTTTGGCACTATTGAGACACTGTTTGACACTGTTGAGACATTGTTTGGCACTGTTTGGCACTGTTTTGATGTAGATTTCTTTGCCAAAAAAAGGAAATAAGGAAGTGTGAAGTTTATTTTAGACCGTTCCAAAAAGGAAAGTGTGAAGTTTATTAAAAAACCGGAGGGAGTAAAAAAAAAGGAAAAATTGACAAGAATAATCTCATCTTTCACCGGTCTTCTCATAATAATCTCACCTTTAAATAATCCCACTTTTGCACCTCATGTTCTTTCATTGGACTCTGACCAAGTTTTTTACCTTTTTTAAAAATCTTATATAAATAATCTCTCATTTACAAGGATATAATTAAAAAGTGGAAGAAGAGATTATTTGTATAATTTTCAAAGAATGAGTAAAAAAACATGAGGGTCCAATGAAAGAAGATGAGGTGCAAAGGTGAGATTATTTAAAAGTGAGATTATTATGAAAAAAACGGTGAAAGGTGAATTATTTTTGTCAATTTTTCCTAAAAATAATTGAAATTCACAGTAATAATGACAACGTTTTCATGAAACAAGTGTGGCACGTGGAATAAAGATCTTTAAAATAATCTCAAAAACATTAGTTGTGCTTAAAAAAAACCCGTAAATGTAAAATTAAAGAGTTTTGTTTGGGTACACAAAATGTGTATACATGGCTGTCTTTCACAAAAATTTTGTCTGCCACAGACAACAGAAAATGAGTTGTCTCTGACAGACAAAGTTTCTGTGAAGGACAGACATGTGTACACATTTTGTGTACACATTTTGTGTACTCCAAGCATTTTTCAAAATTAAAACGTAAAATATATCGATTTGCGTCGATTTTTCAAGAAAAGTGCCGCATCACTTGGAAAATTTTGAAAAAACCGGAATATTGAAAGCCTCAAGGCGCTTTTATGGATAAGGGCGGCACGCCTTCTTTTTTTAAGGCTCTTATTTAATACAGTAGAAAGAATGGTGTCAATATTACTTCTCAGCTTCTGGTGTACAAAAATATGACCACTTTTAAAAATTCCACAAAAGTGACCCGGCGACCCAACGCATTTCACCCGCGCCTCTTTCTTCTCTGCGCATTTTTTTCCATCGAACAACTTCTTTGCGCATTTCTTTCCAGCGTACTTCTTCGCAGAGCATCTTCCTTAATGTGCCAACCCGCCGGACTCGCCTCCGCCTCACCTCAGACTCGCCGCACATGCTGCCTTGTCGCATGGGTTGCCTCGCCAAATTAGTCGTTCCTCCTCCAATCCGGCGCTCCTCTTCGCACGGTCATGCATGGCTCCAGTCAGCGACAACTACCAAGCCACCACCCTTGATTCTCCTTTTTCTCCTTTTTGTTTGGATTCCAAATTGATTTTGGGGGTTTTCCTTCTTATTTTCATATCTGAGTTCCAGATTGAATTTGGCTGGGGCGAGGCTGGAAGGTAGTGTGCGGCATTGCTGAGCAGGGGCTGGGGGAGAGTGATGTGGAGTTAGGGAGATGAGATGGTGGAGTTGGGGGTCGGGATGGGGCTTGGGAGATGAGGAGGTGGCTGGGGGATCAGGGGTGGTTGGGGTTAAGCAGGGGTCTTGGAAGGTGATTGGGGGTTGAGGGGTCAATCTGAGGGTGGGTGGCAGTCGGCGGCGGTCTGCGGTAATGTTCAACGGTGGTGGTCGCGGTGGTGGTGCGGCAAGGGTGGTGATGGACTGTGATGGGATGGTGGTGGGCAATGGTGGACTGTGATGGGATGGCGGGGTGGTTGGGGCGCTTGGTTGCCGGTAGAGTCAAGTGAGAGGGGTGGCACGCTGGTCGACGCCGGTGGGGGGGGGGGGCAACCTTTGTCATTGCCTGCAGTGGCGGAGGTGGCCGGTGGGGTTTTTGGAATGGTTAAATGTGGCCAGTGTCATTGCGGAGGAGTTACTTTGAATGTGTCACTATGGCGGTGTCACTGTGGTCGGCGGCGGAGGCAGTGACACGAGCGATGGCGGTTGAAGTGACACGATGATGGCGGTAGCAGTGACACGACTGGCACTGACATCCAAGTGATCCAACAGTGACATGCAAATGGGCAGTGACATAAATATTTGGCTGTCACTTTATTTTAGTCACATTTTTGTCCAAATTTAAAAGTTGTCACATTTTTTGAAATCAGCCTTAGTTTAGTAATCTACTGGTATTTAATTTAATAAGCGCAGCAAACGAGATGCCGCAAAATCATCAAATTTATACTTGTGTTTTGTTTCAATTTTGGTTATACATGGTTATATTTTATTGTGTTGCAAGTATTGAGCTTTTAAGAAGCTGTGAAGAGGACACACGTAGTTACGCACCTTAGGAGAGGAGCGGCGAAGGGGAAACCCTAGCCGCCTCCTCTTCTTCTTCCTCTCTTTGTTCAATTTTCTTTGGATCCCAATAATGAAAAAAATTTCTTTAGATCAATATTTTGAATTCTATGTATGCGTCTATTTCCTAGCATTGTCTAGAGATATTATTTTCGGTGGCGAAGTGTCGTCGCTCGCCAGATTTATATTCCCCGCCATCATCGGTCGAGTGTTCTTGGGTGTTAGTAAGACATGTGTATTGGCTTCTCTATAGATCCTGAGATTTGTTCTGTATCAATATAGAGGCCGATCGCCCCCCTCCTGAACCACCACCGATCAAGGAAGATGGGAGTGAATGGATTGCTTTCTTTCCGGTGGCTGGTGAAACCGGAACAATTTCTGCCGCACTTCGCTCCTTACCGGTGGCTGGAAAACCGGCAAGTTTAACAAATCCTTTTCGGTGGCTAGTCAAACCGTACCTATTTCGAGTAGCACGAGCAGTCAAATTGCGGGACGAGTCTACATAGTTGCAGGGTTAGCGAACATGATAACTTTTATATGGCTTTTTTGTTCTTTGTCTCACCTTAGTGTAGCATTGAACGTTGTGATTGTAATGCTTCGGCTTTTGGTTGTTATGTTTCTGGTTACCCTTATTAATAATAATTAAGTTATTGATTTTCAAAAAAAAAAAAGTTGTGAAGAGGTTCAGTTTTCTTTGATGTTTTTTACGTGTTAATGTAATAAAATTTGAAATACATTCACACGAACTCATGATGTGCAGACTGAATACATTACGTGTTACGGCATGTTTGGATGGAGTGTTGGGAGATGTTAGTAATTAAATTTCATTTACAAGTAAACTATAATATTATGATAGGGCAAGGAGAGCAGCGAAAGAGTAATAATAACAATATCACTTATTTTAACAAGGAAAATTGACAATAATAATCACATATATGACCGTCCTTTTCATAATAATCTCACATTTACGTAATCCCAAAATAATCTCATCTACATCTTCTTTCACAAAACGTGACCGATTGATGACCTACTACAGCAGGTTTTTTGTCATTTCTTTGGAAGTCTTACATATAATTAATCTCACTTTGGACAAATCTGCTCAAAATAGTCATATGTTTCATTTTTATTCTTTCACCCTAATTTTTTTTCCCTGGACACTTTTTAATTCCTTCTCCATCCTTTTATTTTTATTTCTTTTCCATATTTATTATTCTATTTCTCGCTCTATTATGAGAATTTTATTTGTAAAATTTCGTTTCAGAACAGATTTGTGTCATTTCGTTTTTCCCATATTTTTCATTTCGTTTCCCTTTTTATGTGTTTCTTTTCTTAACCATTCTCTTTTAATTAATATCTTTTTCACATTTTAATTTTTGTTCTATTTTCCTTTTATTTTCACTTTTCCCTTTTTTCTTCTTGTTACTTTTTTGTGTGTGTGTTTTCTTCTATCTTCTATTCTTTCTTCTTGTTACCTTAATTACACCATCAATATTTTTTTTTTCTTTCTACATCATTGAATTTTTCTAAGTAAGCCCACTCATAAATTTCATCAGCTATGGGAAAAAATCTTTGTGATCAAAAGATTAGGGAAAAATAAAATTTAAAGAAAAAATATCGAGGAAGTATGAGAAAAAAAATTATTATACTCTCTTTATACGAAGAGAGGTAGATGTGAGAAACATTATCTGAAAAGAAGAAAAAATAAGAAGAAATCTAGATCAAAAAATCGTCACTATTCACTAACATGTCAAAAACAAGCAAAAAAAGGATGGGGTGAAAAGGATAAAAAAACAAATACATTTGAGGAAGGTGAAAAGGGGGAAAAAGAGGAAAAAAGAGATTAAAAAAAAGAAACTTTGAAATACAAAATAAATAAAATAGTAACGAGTAATTTGGGATAACCTTTAAAAAAGAATTAACCAAATAGTGATACATAAAAGGAAAAATTTACAAGAATAATTTCACCTTTCACTGGTCTTCTCATAATAATTCCACATTTACGTAATCCAAGAATAATCTCACATTTCCACCTCATCTTCTTTCATTGGACCCTGACCTATTGATGACCTACAAAGATGAGATTATTTATATAAGATTTTCAAAGAATGGGTCCAATGAAAGAAGATGAGGTGCAAAGGTGGGATTATTCTGGGAGTATGTAAAGGTGAGATTATTGTCAGAAAATTAGTGAAAAGTGGGATTATTCTTATCAATTTTTCCTTCATAAAAAGAGAAGAAGTAAAAATAAGGAGGAAGAAGAAAGAAAAAACTATTGAGAAAAAGGAAAGTAAAAACATAAACAAATTAAAAAATGATACAATAAGATGAAAAAAAGGAAAAAAATTGAAATGCAGGATTGTTTTGAGCGGATTTGTCAATGATGAGATTATTTATATAAGATTTTCAAAAAAGAAAAAAGAAAAAAACCTGGTATAGTAGATCATCAATTGGTCAAGGTCCAACACAAGAA